TACGGGTGGACTCGCCCATGCCTCCCGAGACTTCAACGCCGAGGAGCTGGAAACCAGCGACTCCGTTGTATTTGCGGCGCTTGGCCTGCTCGGCCAGTCTGGCAGCGGTGCCTTGGGCGTGGGCCCTTCCGGCCTGCAGGCTCTGCTGCGAGGCGGGACGCACGATCGCTAGGTCAAGATAAGCCCGCTGGCCGTCACTGTCGGTGCACCTAAGGTCCGCGCAAAGACCCGGATTGCCCGGCCTGGTGGGTGGGCGAATCCAAGGTTCGACTGCGATGTCGCAAATGCCGGCTTCACGTAGGGCTCGCGCGATGGTGTCGCGCAGGTTGTTGTGCCTCTTAACCATGAAGCCGCCATAGGAGCAGCAGAGCGCGTGGCGTCCGTAACTGTCGACGGTGCCGGTGCAGAGGGTTCCGTCCTTCTTTTTGAAGGGACAGGGGCCGTCAGCTGCGCGTACAAGACCTCCGAGTCTGTGTCTCACGGCCATGCTGAAGTGGGCGTCAGCGAGGTGGTGGTCGGGCCGCGTGGGCGGCCCGAGCCACGCGCCTGCTCTCTTGCCTCTCGTGCTAATAGCCGCGTCGCAGCCACTGCGTCCACTCTGCGTGCCGCCTGTGCCTGCTAAAACGCCGTTGGGTGGTGTCGGGTGGCTCCGTGTCGGGCGCCTGCTGCGCTGCCTCTTCCTGCGTCAGCGCATTGACAGCGCTCTGGAGGTGGTGGAGCGCTGGTCTCAAGCCCGGGCAATATTGGAGAAGGTCATCTTTGTCGCGGAGGCCCAATCGTTGGAAAACTGGCTTCTCGCAGAGTGCCCATGAGGCCACCTGAGCGTCCTGCCGCACTGCGCTCACACTCTGGAATCCTCCTTCTCCTCCTCCTCCCCCCCCCTCCTCCGCCTCTTCCTCCTCCTCCTCGGGGGGGGGGGGGTCCGGCGCCGCTCCGAGAGATCCGAGCGCGGACCTCCGCGGGCACTTGGCGCTGCGTGCCGACGTCTGCCCCATCGAGAAGTGGAACGGGACGGTGCCGTCCCCCGTGGCGGCGTCCACGTCGACGCGCTGCGCGTTCACGAGCCACTCCACGACCTCGCCGTGGCCGCCACGCGCGGCCCAGTGGAGCGCCGTGCGCCCGCGGAAGCCCCCAATGGGGGAGCTGCAGGCCGAGCCCGGGTCGACGCCGCAGGAGTCGACGAGGTACCTTGCGGTCGCGGCACTGCCAGAAGGGACGGTAAATACAGCCAGACCAACCACACGGTGGGGGCATCGGATAAGGAACCCTTAGATAAGGAATCCAGGGTCTGGAGTCCAGTGGAACTCCAATCGTGGATCGGCCATGGGCCATGGATATCACCGCCGCCCTTATCAGATCAGGAATCCTCCAGGGTCTGCAGCCTCCTGGGCACATTCCTCAATCAACGCCCCCACCACATGGTAAGGATGCGCGGTAAGGATGCAAGGGCCCTGGAAAGCCATGTTGACGTTCTTCGAGTGGGGCTGGCCGGCGAAATTGGCCAGGGAGGGGCCGAAGGGGAAGGATGCAAGGGTAAGCTTGGAGAGTCGCTCCGCCTCACGCTGTGGCCGCAAGCTACGATAGAGGGGCCTATTCAGGCCACGGCGGGCCTCGGCCGTGAACAGATTCCCCGACCTGGAGCTAATCTCTCCTCCCTGCTCCCTCCTCCCGCCTCCCTCCCTCCTCCCTCCTCCGTCCTCCCTCCTCCATCCTACCTCCTCGCTCCTCCTCCTCCTCCTCCTCCTCCTCCTCCTCCTCCTCCTCCTCCTCCTTCTCGTTTTCTTCTTCTTCTTCTTCTTCCTCCTCCTCCTCCTCCTCCTCCTCCTCCTCCTCCTCCTCCTCCTCCTCCTCCCCCTCCTCCCCCTGTAAGGCGGCGCGCGCGAAGGAGGGGGGGCCGGCCTTCCTCACAAGGCGAGGGGACAGGAGGGGCGGCCAGAATCTGTCAGCGGCCTTCGGGCACCGAGGGCGGGTTGCATCAGCTGCGCCTCGTCGAGGGCGAAATTCCAGAGACGCCAGAATCTTCTTCCCGCGCGGCTGCCCGAGGCGCCCGGAGGGCGGCATCTCTGTCCAGGCTCTCCTGGCGGATCGATGCCTTCGTTTCCATACAGCCGCTGTTCCAGAAGCTCGGCCTCCGAAGCCTGCTGTCGGGGCCCGCGATGATCACAGGTTGCCCGGGGACGAAAATTTGCCCCAAGGAAGGTGTCAGGACCTCTCGGGCCCGCGGAACCGCGGGTGGTCACGATTCGGCGGTGGACAAGCCTCCCTTTCGTAAACCACCCTCTAGTGAAAATGGCCTGGGACCGAAACCAACGGACCTGGACCCGCAAAAATG